ATTCTTTATTAATGGTTTGGGGATTGCTGCAATACGATGCCTGACTTTTCAATAATTTTAGTAGATTATCTTATTTAGCTTCAATTCCCGAAGAACAGTGGAAACTACTTTTCTGTTAAAAGTAACACTGTTGTTATAATTTTGAATCTCCCAACCAAAAAATTTGGAAAGTTTTAAGTGTATCAGAAAAACTGATTTTACTTTCTATTTGCAGTCATTTCCTTACATAATCATGGTTCCTGGTTGCCATAAAATGAATTAAATCCCGCTTCAAAATATTTTCATAGAAAGTGACAATTAAAAAAAACCACAAATAAATAACTAGGATTATAAGCAAAAGTTTTGCCCAGTATGTTTCATTTGTCAGGAAAAAAAGAGCTTGCAACAAAAATATTTAATTTCCATTTATTTTATTTTTCTGGCTTTAACTGATAAGAGAATATAACAGATGTTGCCATATTGGTACCAAATTCTTATATTCTGCCAGCCTGAGTAAAAACAGGTGAAGAGTTGAATAAAATGCTTCCAATAGCCACGCAGTGCCTCACTTAAGTGAACTCTTCTATAAGATAGTTCTTCAAAAATTACAAATCTTTTGATTGGATTAAGGATCTTAATTCCACAACCTTCAGATTTTCACAAAAAAATCTGCTCTCTATTTTCAATATCATTCAAGTTTATCTGTTCTTTGTTACTTTGCTGAAGGTACTGATTTAGAATCAGAATAATCTAAAACATAATTATGGTCTACCAGATACAACTAATTCATTTTCTATATTCTTGAACATATAGATGGGAAAACCAATTTATCAATTAAGAGCAAACCATGATAAATATCACCTGTTAATTGGAAAATAAAAACCAATCACCATCCCTAAACATGTATGTTATGAGTTTGGTCAGATCTTTAAAATAGCTGATTTAGCTAGCTATCAGTTTGCCAGGGCATGTTTATGTCAAGGTTAGGGTCAGGCGAAGAAGATCTCAATTACTCTGGCCATAAACTATTTAATTATATTAAAATAAGTAGGGCCTATTTATATACATAATAGATTTTAACTAAATTTTGTTAAACAAAGAATGTTTAATAAAACTACTTCATATATACCAGTGATGGTTAACCTTTTTGGCACTGAGTGCCAAAACTGGAGTGTGCACATGCGCATGCCAGAAAGAGAGCAGCTGGTTGGTGCACATGTGAAGTCAGAAATTAAATACTTACCTACACTATTTAATAGGTTTTTTTTTCTTTTTTAGTGTTTATAATAATATAGTAGAGATTTTGGCATTAAGCTCAGTCTCAAGGTTTTTCCATATCAGAAAACAATTCAGTGTTATCTTTTATTAATATGATTTATTTATTTGATTTCTATAGCCATGTACTAAGTTTTTTATATAATAATTTTTGACACTAATTGGTATTACCTCTTTTTAAACACTTTATCATAAAATGTTCTAAGAACTCTTATTTTGGATAGATAACTAATGCAGTCCAATTCCTTCATTTTATTTTAGTTTAAATGGAAGAATTTTCCCCAATTAAATAGTTTTAGGTGAAGATCCCTTACTTTTTCAGTTTTAGGTTGCTTCCACACAAAAGCCGTGTCACCTTGCAAAGCCATGCTTTGCTATAATTTTACCTGAAAGATTCCTCACGGAACTAACACTATTTTAGTTAGCAGTACAATTCTCCAGGGCGCAGTGCCCTGTTTACAATCAAAATGATCCTCACTGGAGATAGCCTTTTAATTTTAGTTTGAAGATCCTGGTAACTGTTTACTATTGATTCAAGTTGACACAGGTATTTTTAAATTCTTTAAAGCCATTCTTAATTTCACCATATCTATTGCTTTTCTTTCATGGTTTTATAAAAAAAAATCTGCTGTATTTAAAAAAAACAACGATCATGTCAATGAAAGGAGTTTGGTAATTATATTCCCCCCCAGAATTGCAGTGACAACATAAGGAGTTAACCATCTTCCTGTTAGAAGCAGAGTGAGAAAAACCTACTAAAGGCAAATTTCTAATAAACAAATGAAATCTGAAAAAACTGCAACAGTGCTTTGTTATTTTCTCTAGTTCCACAGTATTTTATTGTTGGGGGGAAGGTTATTAATTAACAAAACATAAAAGTATATTGCAGAAAATACTGGATCGCAATGATTTGACTGATGGCTTTTATACCCTGTCAGGCTATCAATGTTTTCACTGTACAATCACCCAGCCTCATTTACATAATATTGTAGCAGGGTAAATGATACTATTTCATTTGTAATAATTTGCAATCAAGCTGTGTTCCCCCCCCCCCCAAAAGGCATGAATAGCCTTTAGGGGGCTTGCAGAGTGCTGGGGGGGGGGGAGAATGAGCAAAAAATGGGCCTGTTTTTCACTCATTTCTGCCCTCCCCAGCCCCCAGGAGCTCTCTGAAACCCTTCTAGAGGCTCTGCACGGCCATTTTGGTGAAGGGGGCGGGGTTTGGGAGGCAAAAAATGCTGTATTCAGTGTATAAGACACACCCAAATTTTCTGCCTCTTTTTTGAGGGAAAAAGGTGCGTCTTATACTCTGAAAAATATGGTATATTGAAATAGACTCATTCTACAATAATTCAAGAGTAGACCCATTTAATTATTTTTAATTGGGTACACACCCATTTCAACTGCTTTCTTTCTTTTTCTTTTTGAATCAAAAGAACTGTTCAAATGTCTAGCAAAGATGGTTTGAAAAATATAATTAAATTACCGAGAGGGTGTAAAGATATTTCCAGTGCCAAAACTGACAAAAAAATTAAAAAGTCAAGAAGTTTATATTTAAGTATAGAAAAAGATAAAACAGATTTCAAATCAAAACTCTTGTGTTCGTATTTCACACAATAAAAATTAAACAGATGCATGTAACAATGTTAAAGGATTCCATTACAGGAAGACAGAATACACTTAAATCAAGTATGAGATTCTAAAGAGATGTTCACTTTGTGTACTGTAGCCAGTACTATGAGAACATCAACTGGAAATAACAACCATAGCAATCCTCTATAAAATGTAAATGAAAAATAGATGACAATTGTAGAGAAAGGGAAGCAATGAGGTCTATTATTAACTCAGCATCATGTTAGGAAGTATAAAAAGATAATTCTTTCACTTGATGGCACATTTTTTGTTATAGAAAATGTACTATATAACAAAATCTTGGATTTTAGCAATAATTATTCATATTTCCTAACATTAAATATTATTTATTTTATATTCTGAAACAGAATACAGCACACGATTTCCACAATTTTTGATACTTCAAGTCAATCCAATAATTCCAAGTATTTTTCAATTGTGGATTTTGAGGTTTTTTCCTTTGGACTAACATGCATCCCATTGCTTTTTCTTCTGGGAGAAGCATTTGATTCTTTTATAACAATTTACTAAAGAAAACACATCCACAACACTGGAATGCTAATATGCAAAGGCATAACTGCAAATAAAGATAATAGTCTGAGTCCAGAATTGCTGCTATGTAACAAAGTATTTCTTCTTTTCAGGGAAGAGACTTTGTTATAACAGAAACTCCAGAAGAAGGAAGAGAAGCAACCTTATACTGATACTTTTACTAAGATTTCCTGTCCACTTAACTACAGTGTTAGTAAATGCTAAACCAAATAAATATCAAAATTTGATTTTGAAAGAGGATATTAGCAATCAAAGTGCAGTTGCAAAAATGGGTATAATTAGCAATGTAGTTTGAGAAAGTTTTCAGGAACAAACTTTCTGAGAAATAAAATATAAAGTGATTCTAAAATACAGTACCCACGTAGATGATAGAACCACCTCAAATGCTAAACAAGCTCAAAATAAATTAGTCCTTGGATGGCTCATCAACAGCCTATAGAGGAGGTCAGGAAGTAAAAAAAATAGCAGCATGAAATAATCTCTATGTATTGCTGCTAAAAGAATTAAAGGGTGGCAGGTTGAGTGTGACTTTAAGGAAATGTTGCTTTTTAAAAAAAGATATCCCATGTTAAACAAATATACTATACAAGCACACTTATATATCCTGTTTAAAAGAAAAATTGACCACATTGTGAAAAACTTGCTTATTTCCAACCTGTGTTGTTAATAGACTTCTGTTATTTGTAATATTACCAACCCCCATTTTCTACTTTTAAGGTAATAATTATGTTCCATACCTTTACTAGAGGATTAATAACACCAACATTAGGACTTGCATTAAACACTTTGTTGAAGTTAGTCTCCCTATTGACTAGTTCCAGTTGATAGAATTTTTTGTCATCCTAATAAAGAAAAGTATAAGTTCATGTTGTTAGGGTGACTATTTACAGAAAAAATCTTCACTTCAAATATGAAACTGTTGAAGCTGAACTAAGATTGGCAACATTTGTTCCATTTATGTAATAATTTGTGGCATTCCTATAATCCTCTATAGCAGCATTAGCATTCTAACTTTGCATTGAGTTCAAAGATTCTAGAAGACAATTGTGATACAGGAAGCCACAAATGATTCATATTAGCAAATTTCTTATCAGCAAAATTCAGAACATACTTATTAGAAAACATTAAAATAGACATTGTTTATATAAATGCAAACCAGGAAGGAAAAGATACTCCCCCCAAATGTTTTAAAATTTCGATAGCATTGTGATTTATCTACAGTACAAAAGATACAATTTTATAAGTAACATTTCCAACAACTGTTTAATAGTACAAAAAGAGATGTGGAATTGTGTGTGCAGCCTAGATAACTGAGATTAAAACTGAAAGTCACTTTCATTAGATTGTTGTCTTTCACATGTAATAGATGTTTGGAATATTTGACAAAAAAATACTAGCATCTCACATGCTCAAAACAAAGCCCACCAAATTATCTTACAATCAGCTTCTTTATCAGCTGATCCCTCTCAGCAATCAGATCTTTCAGCTCTGCAATAAGCTTCAGGTCTTCTGGCCTTGGTTCCCTGTTTTGATATTTATCTTCCATTTCTTCTAAACTTTATAAAGACAAAATTATCACCAATGCATTAGTAGTGTGTCAAAGTTAAAAGATAATACTATAAATCCATATTATCAGATTGATTCAATAAATAAATATTATATATAAAAAGAGATATAGATTTATACCTATAAACGTCTTTTGGTTGGTTATGCTAAAGAAAATGCTGTCATAATTTACAGTTAAAACAACATAACCTCAATAATAAAATTATAATAAATCAACTAATGAGTGAGAAAGTATCATGCTAACTAAAAAAAAAGTTAGTATAAGCAGTCAAAACACCACAGAATGAAAGCAGAAATTAAGAAAATTGCAGAAAAGTTCTAAAAAGACAGTGAAGAAGCATTAAAGGAGTGAATGGAAAAAAATAATTTACAGAAAAATACTGAAAGGCCAAAAAACAGACCCTTGAATTTGTAGAAAGATTAATAAGTTTTGAATTAACCTTTCAGATTGCTTTCTGGTTTTGGACTTTTATATGGATTCTAACAGACAAGGGTAAACATCGAACAAACTGAAGCTATATGCTGATATGATGGATTCATATGATTAGGTGCGTTGGTTCTGGAGGCAGTTGAAGAACCAGTTTTCTGATGGAGTTTTTATATATATGATATATATGATAGATAGATAGATAGATAGATAGATAGATAGATAGATAGATAGATAGATAGATAGATAGATAGATAGAGTTCAGGTTTCCCCCTAAGTGCCTGGACACACATTAGAACTGATTGGTGTCAAGTTTTTGTTGCTTTTAATGTTTTAATCGGCTGAGTTTTATAGTTTTAAAATGATTTTATATGTATTTTAATTTTTAATTGGTAGCTGCCCAGAGTTGGTTGAAAGATGGGAGGCCATATAAATGAAGAGGGTATATATTCTGAAAGCTGGATTTTATCCTCTCAAATGATTTTAATAGCTGAAGAAGACCTTTTGCCAACTTGCTCTGTGGCCCAATTGGAAGATAGTTTAGAATACTGTATCTGGCTCGATTAGTGTCAATTTATGAATTCCAGTTGAATTCCAGAGTATGCAAGAGATGTTCAGATTGTATTATGCTAAATATATATTAAATATACCAATTGCCTTTTTCTTACTATACATAAATTTGAAAATCTGCTTTGGTTTTAAAAGTTCTTCATAACTTTAATCAGGTTTTCTGATGATTACCAGAATTCATAAAAGTTGTTAACACTATCTTCTAAAGCTTAATCCTAGAACATCTTCAGGTCACTACTACATAGCATATTTTCTATCAGCCAGGCTCATATAGTAACATAACTCTTTTATTCCCTAATTACAGACAGACTATATTTGGAAAGTTTAAAAACTTTTATGAAATATTTTTATACCTTAAAATTTTCAGCTTTTATTTGTGGTCATGTCTCCAAAGTTACTGCTTTAAGATTGGGTTATTATATAGTAAAACTAATTTTGATTTCATTATATTTTATGATAAATATTATTATATTGAACAAAATCTTCTATCCTCTCCTGAAGAGGCAGTTTAGACCAGATTCCCCAACCCTTGGGATATGCAAGCGACAGGCAAGTGTGTGAGTGCACGAAGCTCCATTTGCCCAAGCCACAGGCACACACAGAAAACCATCCCCTCTCCCCTCACCTCTAACGCTGCTAGTCTGCAGAACTAAAAAGGTTGGGGACCGCTAGTTTAGACTATTCTTCTTACAGAAATCTCTACGCTTCTTTATTACAAGAAGCAAAACTTAAATAGAAAACAGTATTATTTCAGGCAGTTTGTCAGTTCAAATTTCATTACAAATGGAATCTTACCATTTTTAAAAAAGCATATCTATACAAACAGCTATTTAACTTTGCTTGTACATTATTCTCTAAGATTCAGACTCAGATGAATAAGAGCTGGGCAAGAGTTTACAATCTATTATGTCCTTGCACTGTAAAGATAGCCAATAATTATTAGTCAGTAACCATAACGCTTGAGAATTTTAAAAGGTCCTTAGTTGCATTTCCCTCCCAAAGACATATTTTTCTCCAATAATAAAAGTATCCAAAAAGAAATGAGAGTGTAGACTATTTTAAGATAAAACAGTGCTTTATAACTGGGAAAGTAAACTGGAAACTTAATTAGAAGACATAGCTTCAGTATAATGAAATTGACTTTACAAAGAGAAACATGAAACACAGAAATATAAGGATCATACGGTGACATAGATGTTGTGGGAAGACACAGTTAATTAAAACCATTAATATATACAACATTATGTAATATGGGAGTTATTAGTTTTAAAAATATTGCATCAATTTAACCAGAGGCACAAAAATAAAATAAGAGGCTTACCAAGCATCTTTAGTGTGATGTTCAGTCCTAATGAAAGGATGTATTAAATGGTGGTATTTTTTTTTAAAAAAAAAATCTGCCCAACTCATTCTGTGATTCTGGGCAGCTTACAAGGATAAAATCTTAATACCAAAACAATACTACTCCCCACCGCTCCCCAGCAATAACAATCATTCAAGCCTTTTAATTGGTTCCCTATCACTCTTGGGTCTCTAGGCCTGTTGGCAGAACCATATCTTCAGGGCCTTGTGAAAGACTCTAAAAGTGTGGGTCAATCTTATGTCTGCAGTGATAAGGGAGGAGCCACCATGAGGAAGGCCCTTCTTTATCCTGCTAGATGGACCTCGTTAGGAGAGGGGACCCCATAGCTTTTCCTGCCTCCCCATACTAGTGGATCAAATAGATATGACTGGGAAAAGATGTGGTCCCAAGCCATATAGGATTTTGAAGGTGACAACCAACACCTTGAATTGGACCCAGAAGCAAATCATCAGTCAATGCTGCTCCCGCAGGAGAAGTGACACATGTGCAAAACTAGGCTTGCAAAAAACCATGCCGGCTGCTGCATTTGGGAAAGTAATTGAAGTTTCCAAATACTTTTTAAGAGTGTGTAGAACTGTTTGAACTGCTTCATCTAGCTGACTGATTGATTTTATGAGAATGCCCATTGTACTTTTATTTTGTATTAGCTTCCAATACTTAAGATATTACAAGGGTTAAGTGAAAGTATGAATTGGATGTCTTCTTATTTTTTCCCATGGGTTCAATTCTGCATGTTTGTTGAAATGGTTGTCAAAGATAGCAGATACACTAAGCTTCTCAGTTATATGTAATTTTACAAGCCTATGCCTCTCCAGTATCAATTGGAAACAGATAATGGTTATATATTATTCCACTCAAACTCAGCCCATATATGAAATTGTTCAAGGGAGTAAAACTTACGAAACTTGCAAAGCTGAATTAATTTCCTTGAGCAGCTCTTGGGTTTTATTAAAATCTGCCAGCATACTTTGTTTCTCTCTGATGTGGTCAGCTGTCATGACATCCAACTTTTTCTCATGTTTCTTGCTTAAATCTTGTTCATGTAGCCTGTTTCATTTTATGTTAAAAACAGTTATTCTTATGTCAGTTGGGTTCATTAATGTTGATATTTGAAAAGGCTTTGTGCACAGTGATACTGATAATTGAAAAATTACTATTTCTCCAACCTTTAGCTTATTTTTATAATTTTTTTCATCTCCTTTAATGCTTTAATAATGAAAAGCAAACAAAATTTGTTTAATTAAATTTTCAAAATAGTTTTTTCACTTGCTAATGTCTAGAATAATGTGCAATGCCATATGACAGGCAATCCCAGCCTAAATGCATTTTTACATTAATCGATATTAGATTTTGATGAGTACAGCAGTTTGAATTTGAGTACCTAAAATATTCCATGTAAAGTTAAAAAAAAAGGTTATCAGCTTTAGGAACTGCATTAATTAGACCTTGTTACCTGACATCAGAAATACTCATACCTAATTTGCTGATTAGATTCGCTACGTATTCGTAGAATTTCCTTCCCTTTGAACTCCAGTTCCTTAGTTAATGCACTTATGTTCTCATGCAAAGCAAGTATTTCCTTATCCAATTCTGATATATGGTGGTCTCGATGCCTCAGGTCATCCTGTACATCTGATATTCGGCACATAAATTCTTTCTCCTAATAAGCAAATATTAATAATCAAAGAACACTTTGTAGTAGTTCTGCATAGTGTATTCATTTCTGCAGAAAAAAACATACTCAGTTTTTTTATTAAAATATTTCTATTTCCTTATTAGTACTTTAGATTGTATTTAAAAACAGAATATTTAAATCACTGGTGTTCAACCTTTTGGCTTGCCTGGGTTGCATTGTGTGGAAAGAAATGGTCTTGGGCCACATATAACATATATAATTAATTAATACATAATGCATCACATAATACTGTTAAAAGTTTACAATCTTGTGGGGCTACTTTACTAGCTGTCCAGAATCATATGCAGCCTGTGGGCCATGGGTTGTACACTCCTGATTTAAATGACAATGTATCTTCCTTAAATTAGGGGATTCTTGTCTTCTCTTTATTCCTCTTCATCTGTGAAAAATCAAATATAAAGTTAAATGGAATACTGAATAAGAATTATGAGATTGCAATTGAGTTTTAAGACTGTGCTTTCATCTTTTCAGCCAACACAAGCACCCCCTTCCCCCAGACTTAGAGAGTCTACTAAGACTGATCTCCAATTCAGGTTTTCTGTTATTTGTCCAGAAGGTTTGGTAGTGTCTACAATTACTATATTATCTTTGTTATTATGCCTTCACCTTTATTTAGCACCAAAACATATTTCAACAAAAATGTTTAGATCCAGACTTGTTCTTTTGTAAATAAAATAGCTGATTTGAACTAAAGTTCTCTTTACTTTACTTTTACTGCCACAAGTGATTCCTAAAACTAACAAATAATACAGATTTCTCCTGCCACCCCCAATCTCTTTCAGGGAAACAGAAGGAGTAAGGGGGGGGGGGGGAAACCACCTATAGCCCTTCTCCTGTAGAAGCATTCTATGAGTGAAATTTCAGTCATAAATGATCAGGCTTTAAGCTTATAGACATTAGTATAAAATATACAGTGCATTCTGGAAGATGCTGGTTTAAATTATTGTGGACTTGCTGCTGAAAGAGATGGATTATCCCAAGGATTGCCATAATAATTGGCTGGTGTTTGAGATGCTTGTTCAATTTAATTCTCTCATAATGCTTAAGCAGCACTCCCCCCCCCCCAATTGTCTGTTTATTTTTCCCCTGTGTCATTTTATCCTTTTTTATTCTCACTTTTTTTTTCTTTATGCAACTATCTTATCTCTTTAATTCATCTACATCCTCTTTTAATCTTTATTGCTGAAGAGAGGGAATGGAATGTTGGTGGGTAGAGAGTGAATGGTTGAATGGCAAATGAAATATAAATTAACAGAATAATGGAATTGGTATCCTAGATTGATAAAACAAGGAAGCAGGCAGTGCATAATGGAGATACAGGTTCTTGATTTGGATGGGTGAGTGGGTAAGTGGGTGGGTAGACAGACAGACACACAGCAATAGCAATATCACTTAGACTTACATACTGCTTCACTGTGCTTTACAGTCCTCTAAGCGGTTTACAGAGTCAGCATGTTGCCCCCCAAAATCTGGGTACTCATTTTACAGATCTTCTGCAATTTGTGATTTTCAATTTTTATTGGCAAAGTTTGGGAAACTTTTATTGCCAAACGTCTTCATTTTCTAGTTTGATAATTTGCTGCTGTCATTTAATTCTGTTACTTATCTTTGGAATAGTAGTTACAATTACACCAGTCAAAAAATTACCATTGAGGTGATGGTGTAAGGTAAATGCTGAATCAGACATGATTAGATTGGTGTAGTTGCAGCATGTGGTTATAGCATGTGGACAATTTCATGTTTCATTCAAAAGCAACATAGTAACATGTTTAATGCTAATTTACAATTAGTGTATATTAATATATGGTTGAAACCTGGAAATTAAATGCAAAAGCAATACAATGAAAGTTAAATGGCAATGAGCTGGCAACTAGATCAACAGTGGTGAACATCAAGCCTTGCTCGATGCCAATGCCTTAAAAGATGAGAAAATGTCGAAAGAAATACTGGACAGATTCAAATGTGTTAACTGGGAAATGACTCAAATACCATATATCAATTTTTGATCAAATAGCTTTTTTGTTACTTCTTGATCAAAAAGATAAAATAAAGGTCAAACACATATGCTTTAGTTTTAAATATGCTAATAATCTTTAGGGCATAGAGTATATATACCTGATGCCTGCTGAGTTCTATGCTTCTTTCAAGTTCCATTTTAGCTGCTGCTACTTCTTGCTGATGATTGTGCCTGAGATGATCAATTGCTGCAGCATGTTGGTGATTCAGTTCAGAGCGCAAAGAAGCTGAGAGATATAAAGTATTGTAAAATACTTCATAAATATTTAATATTTTGATGGGTATACATATTATTATCGTATACTGAATGCAATATATGTAGCACAATTTGCTCACTGATTTCCTTACTATTTCCCAGCCATTGGTGGGAAAACCTTTTATAATAAGTGTATTACCCTGACATTCATTCAGAGTACCACAATTTGTGTCTTCTATATTTATGGTATTTGCAATCCACACTTTCAATTTATTTTTGTTGTTCAAAATTTGATGTTGCTCAAGCAAGAAAGTCATTTCAAAATGTGAAGTAAAATTGTTCATATCCAAGTATGTGAACTTTGTATAAAAGAATTGTGTAGAGAACTCATGAATTTGGAAGGAAACTCATAAAGGCAAAATACCAGAATAAAGGATGACATATTTTTAAATTTCTGCTTTATCCTTATTATCTTGATATTATTAGACCAGAAATATAATTTCTATTTCTGGAAAAAGTGCTCTTTTTTCAGGGAGTCATACTATTTTCTAGGATAGTTACATAACATGTATATATTTTATATATCTATATTTAAAAGACTTACAACTCAATATTTTGTACCATGCACATTCAAAGCTGGAAGCAAATATTTTCAAAGAACATCAGTTGCATATTCCAAAAAGAGAAACAAAAATAATCCAAAGAAGATAATGATGATGATAATTAAAGCCAATAAAGAATATTTGTAGATAAGGGTTGAAATGAGGTGGTCTCTGACCTTGATTTTCTTGAAGACATTTCATTACCCAAACTAAGTAACATCATCAGTTGCTAGTCCTGATGATGTTATCTAGTTTGGGTAGTGAAATGTCTGCAAGAAAACAACCAAGCTCAGAGAGATAATAATAGCAACCAGATAAGCGAATCATACAAGGTAAGTATATTATATCACCTGTGAAAGGCTCAAGGAAACATTATTCATTATCTTCCTTTTAAGCCAGTATTCTCTTTTCTTTTCTAATATTCAATTTGATGACATTGAGCAATCACCACTACTACTTTTAGTGATTTGTTTCTCTGAAATTTTAAATACTGCATTGTATTTTTGCAAACCTTGAGTTTCTCTAATGATGTGGATACTTCTCCCTAATTCTTTATGGTCTGATTTTGCTCTATTTCTGTTGAAATGAGACACTGATATTGATAGTAAAAAAAACAGATATAAAGATAACACTAAAGAAACTACTTTACATTATCAAAGATAATGAAAAAGGAGAATATCAAAACAGAACACATCTATCTAAAACACCTATGGAAAAGCTTTATTTAGCCAGGCAGAATCTTATGAAAAATCTCATAGCAGAGTCATCAACTTGATTTAAGAGATGATAAATCATAACAATTGTAAAGACTGAATTATAGTATCTTATTTATATTATAAACTGTGAGGTATTAATTGCCCTTCAAGGAATACCTTGAGGAATGCTATTTTTCATCTTAAAAACCTACATGGTTTCAAAGAGAGCCAACCTAAAACTAAGAATGAATTTCCTGATAGTGAGAATAATTGACCAATGGAACAGCTTGCCTCCAGAAGTTGTGGGTGCTCCATCATTGGAGATTTTAAAGAAGCGATTGGACAGCCAATTATCCAGAATGGTATAGGATCTCCTACTTGAGCAGAAGGTTGGACTAGAAGACCTCCAAAGTCCCTTCCAACTCTGTTATTCTCTATTCTGTACTCTGTATGTATGTCCTCCAAACATAGAAAGTTGCAGATGATCTAGGAAAGGCTGGTCAATTTCAAAAAGTTTTTACATTGAAAGCCACCAAACTCTAAAAACTAGCTTGAAAGTCAGAAAAAACAGCCCATAATAAGACAATGGCAAACCATTTCTGTATTGTTAGCAAAATTAAAGCCAAATTCCTACATTGTTGTGTATCAGGGAGAAAATTATATCTGCCCTTCTAAATCAAAGCTTACATTTTAAATTGTGACATGAAAGTACAGTACAGTACCAAGCATTGCTTTCCCTTCGTCTTCCAATTCAAAGCGAAGAGTCTGCACTTCCTGCTCCATTTCTATTTTGAAAACATCCATCGCTTGTCTGTGTGCATCTTTCAGTGCTTGAAGTTCTTCTGAATACTTCTGTTGCAAGTGTTCCTCAAGTTCCTATGAGAAGTAAATCAGTATGAGGATATTCTTACAATGAAGCATATAAAATTATGTTTGTTTTTATCTTATGGAATCTTATCTGTAGCTTCCCTATCTTATGCAGTAATTCACTATACTCTGGATGCTATTTAGCAAAGTGGTTTGGTTCCAAGACAACTGTAGATGAAAATAGGTGAGGGTCTCTTGATGTTCAAAATAAAAATTAAATATTTAATTAAAATAATGTTCATGTTTCTTTTTTTAATGACCTTTTATTTGAAAATGTGTTATATTGCCAACCCCCATTAAACACACCTTTTGCTCTTGTTCTTTTGTTTCTTCCATGCTCTGAAAGGCAAGGATATGTGCTTCTTTCATGGACTTATGTCTCTGCTGATGCTCTTCCTCCAGTTCTTCAATTTCTTGAGTCAGTCTCTGCTGCTCTTGACTAAACTGTGCCTGCAATTGTTGCATTGTGTTCTGAGACTGTGAAAGTTGCATTTCTAGGTTTTGCTTTAGCAGAGTGATCTAATTCACAGAAAAGCAAAATGACACAGAAATATCAAAATAAAATTCTAATTAAATGTATGCATAGATTTTTTTAAAAACTAAGATTAATTTTGGAAAAGTACAGAAATCTATAAACATGTTACTAGTCCACTAATCAACTGCAATCTGAGTTGCAGTTTGAGATATGAGAGGAAATGTACAATGTACACAGAAATTTTGTATCTTTTTAAACATTGCATCCTTATCTTCTGGCATATGTTGTTCAACACATTTCTTTTAGAAAATGTTCGGGTATACATTATAACATGAAACAAACATTTATGATACAAAAGATAGGAGAACTACTACAAAGATTGCCACTTTGCATTCTATAAACTGCCTCTCCCCAACTGTCCGTGACATGCTCAGATATCTAAAAGTCAAGTTTAAAGTACTCAGACAGTTTCTTTTAATATCTAAAGTTTGTTAGTCAGAGTTAGAGAAAGTCTTCTTAAAAGTACAAAAAGATTGCTTCATAAAAATAATAGATGAAAAATCTTCAATACACTTACTTAGGCAGGAATTCTAATGAACTCAATTGGGTTTACAATCTTATTTTTGGATTCTAGAGTAAATTACTAATAATTTCAAAGAAATTAAATATTAGACTTTTATATTACCTCTAGAATTGTTTAGGACACTGAAAAAGAATAATCATATATTATATTTAATGTAGTGTACTGCTTAGTGTATTCAACTATGGACTAAGGACAACCAGCTTCAAATTGCTATTTAGACATGTTGCTCAGTTGACTACATCTGGTATTATCTGACAATGAAATGCACCTCACAAGCATATCTTTACAGAAAAGCAGTAGAAGTACTATATACAATGCCTTAAACTCTGGAAGGAAAAATAATATGTAATCCCCCTAATTTGTAATTCCTTATTTCCATATTATGATTTTGTGGCTTAATCCACACCTTTCTATGGTAGATAATTTACTAAAACTCAGTTATAAATTGAGTGATGTGCTAACTATGCACAGTAATGTACAGATCTTACATGGTATTTTCAGGATGGGAAGTTCATATTGGAGATTGAGATTAGGAGAAAATAATAGTACTGCAGCTGAGATCAGAAGGAAGAGCTATGCTGCTTTTAGATCCAATTGGCATTCTTTCTATCAAAACCACATTACACTACAATAGTGTGTAATGTTCCAATATTACTATAATATCATATTGGTACTACTGTCACTCTCTGAATAAGTTCACATAAAGTAATTACTAGTAAAGACCACAGGCACTATCACTAGTTTCATTCATAGTATATCAGCTTTCAAATAGCTTAACTGTAGGGCAAACTGGTTAAATTTAGTTCATATGATCAGTGCAAGCATTATACTTCATTGGTCTGTAAATATTTATTATGAAGATCATAATGCCAAATAGTTACAAGAGTATTATTTAACACAGATGAACTCACAAATAATTCAGTGAAGGTACAGATACCCTGTATATAGATGAAAGAATTAATACACAAGTTAATTCAGATTTAAGATTTCTATTGTGCTTTCATTTACAAGATAACATAAATGCTAAATGTATTACACCTGTGCAAAATTTCTGAAGGCACTTCTGTCAAATGTAATAGTGTGAACAAAGAATTCATCATTGAAATGTTGAGGTAGCAGTATTCTCAGGTGGATGTGGGTACTCTAAGAAGTTTGTCTTCACATGTCTGTGCATGCAGAACTGCTTTACTTTATCAGTGGTCCCCAAAGTAGTTTTGTCTGGAGATACCCATGCACAAACCATCTTCCTGAGAACACAGCTGCTTCAACACAACAGAGGCTCATTGCTTTGGGCAATGTGAAATTCAAATTACCCCCTTGACCTATTTGTGCAGTAGAAAAGCATTTGTAACAAATTCAGTACCTTCTGTTAGATGTTGGATAAATGTTTGAGTTTCCTTCTACCAAACCATTTTCTTTTATAAAATCTTAGAATTATAGGATCCACTACAGCAGGGATTCTCAATCTTTTCTCAATCATTGTAAACTGAAGTAATTTTCAATATCTATACTGCTGAAATTAGCACAGAGAATGAGATATATGGATTATGACAAATTGATTATATGCCTGTTTCGATGGAACCCTCAGAAACTTAACATTAGAGTATTTCAGACAGAAGATCATCCAGCTTCTACGGCTGGAAACAATTTTGAGCTAATGGCTCCTTTGGAGTCCTGATTTTTTTAAAAAAAAGCCTGTCAAATTGCTACTGTACAATGTATATTATTTAACTGCTGTAGCATTTAGAGTAGTTTATATTGGTAGTCCATCACTATAAGAAAACTGCATGGTAGAACTAGATAGTTTTCTTGAAGCAAGGAGGAAGAACAAAATCTATATATCGTGAACATTTTCCAAAGTCAAAAAGCCTGAAGGGTAAAAGGGGTATTAGTCTTGTTTTACTTTTATTCGCTAGATCTCTGCTATGGAGGCCTTTGAGGAAATGGAATCTCTGGAAATTTTAAAGTTAATATCCCTTTAGTAAATGAATCTTCTGGGAAATTGCCTCCTAAAATCCAAAAAATACCTTGGGATGCAATGCATAGCTATTGTAGAAAAGATGTGGCTTTTTAATGGTAATACTGACAGCTATAGTAAAGGTATACCCGTGCCTAATCTGATGCATTTCCCCCACTATTTGAACGTTGAATTTCCAAACACAACGGAATACTAAAATTGTTCACATTGTTTAACAATGTTCACCACAGGAGCTGTGTTCTACCCAGAACTGAATAAGGCTTTAAAAGAAGTCTAATCACACAAATGCCCCATTATTTTTCCCCTTTGCCAACGATCCATATTCACTTGGTCATTCCACAGCACTAATCAGGATTATGCATGAATCATGTTTTTTATAAAATGCCTAATAGCAATGTATTAATGAAAATTACCTACAGTATTACTGTAACAAGCAACATCTTATTCTTAATTAATGTTTTGGTATAAAGAGAAATCCCTCATTCTCCCACAAAAAAATCACATTCAGCCCCTTTAAATGTAAGGATATACATATTTAATGTGGAATGCAAACATGCATGAAATAAACCATTTAACCAAAGAAACAATTTTATAAATTTATTATTCCCTTTTGAAAAATGAACAGGAAAAAGGATGACTAAATTTTGTGAAGCTGCATGAAATATTGAGATTTGCCCAGAAATATTCCCAGTGGTACTGTTATATCTGTGAAAAATGCTTTACTCTCACAAGCTTGGATACCAAATGTTTGCCAATACCTTTAACTCTAATCTTTCTGTAGCTGTATAGATCACATCCTAATAAATTTCTCAAGGCCAGTTTTAGGGAGGTAATCGCGTCAAGGAGATTAAACAAATAAGAGAGACTGACAAAAATAGATATGAAACATGCAATCTATCAAATTAATTTAACTTGGTTAATCGTGTTGATATTTTGAATACAGGTAATCCTTGGCTTATAACAGTTCATTTAGTGACCATTCAGAGTTACAACAGCACAGACAAAAGTGAGTTATGACTATTTTTCACACTTACAACCACTGAAGCATCTCCATGGTTATGTGATCAAAATTCAGATGGTTGGCAGTTTACTCATATTTATGACAGTTGCAATGTCCCAGCATCACCTTTTGCAACCTTCTGACAGGCAAAATCAATGGGGAAGTCAGATTCATTTAACAACCATGTTACTAACTTAATAACTGCAGGAATTCACTTAACAACTGTCTCACTTAGCAACAGAAACTTTGGGCTGAACTGTGGTCATAAGTTGAGAATTACCTGTACTGACTTGAGTTAGAAATGCATATTTTAATGTTTTTTCTTATATGTTTAACTTAACACTTTAATTTTTAAGCCAAAAACAGAAGTGCAAATGTATTTAGTGGCCAAAATTACAAAACTAATATCTTGCCATGCTATTGGAATGTTTCTTATGATTTTGGAACAGTATGCTGAAAGTGCTATGGCTTTGAAATGGGCCAATTCCAATTTCCATTTCAAGATTAGATTATTTTTAAAGATCATTTAGAAGTAGGAACAATTGTTCCAAAGTTTCAATCACAATCTTTTTTGTCCTGCTCTAGTCACAGGCATAAACATAACATTAAGAAATGCTATTTTCTTTTTTCCCCAACCTGCAACTCGAACAGTTATTTGCACCACTGATTGAACACATACATGTATCGTAATATTTTTGATTTTTTTTTACCGGAATTGAGCATTCATATGACCTAATACCTTGTTTAAAATTGAAAGGCTGCCACAATAAATTTTCTTGATATGTGTATGCTACTTTTAAATTATAAGTCATCATCTCAAAGTGCAAGCCATGATTATAATCTTCTCAAAAATTACAGCCATGGAGATTGCAATCTTATACCTCCTAATCTCTGAACTCAAAGTTTCTTATTTTTGAAGAAACATCTATAGGATTGCACCAAACAGAAAAAAATACCAGCAAATCTATGATACTGTAGTTCAAGAGATATTTTGCATTACCAAAAAGTGGCATATTAAAGGAAGTTGCCCGTAAAATATTTGCTACAATAATTGAATATCAGAAGTCCAAGATTTATAATAGTTCATCCATAACTGAGTCGCATTAGTTCATGCTTTATAAAAAGGCTATGTAATTTGCAAATATATTAGCTGTAAGCTTCTTTTCAATATATAGAATGACTGATATCTGATAGCAAATATGAATACAGACATAGTGAAAGCAGGTCACAGATTTTTATGAAAATATGTAATCTCTTTCTATAAATATTTTAATTATTGTATTTCAAAGGGTTAGATTTTAAAGCAACATTGCCCAGTGTGCAAGCTGAAAAGTACAGGCATGCCCTTGTATGCTATTACAAACTGTAAGTGCAACTCACTTACATTGCTGATAGATTTATGCAAAGCTTCACCAAGATAGTGCCGCTATGAAGAAAAGATCACAAGAATAAAAGAAATAATTCAGAAATAACTAAGATGGAATAAAAAGGGGCAGTAAAAGACAGAACATTCATATTGATATGATAAAGGAAATATGTTGAGAAAAACTAATACAGAACAGTTTTGCTATGGTTTTATAAATCTTCTGAACATTTCTAAAAATCTACTTAATAAAAATGTTTTGAATCTAAAGATAAAAATCAGAAATATCTAAATTATTTCAGAATTATATAGTTTCTAAATGAAAGTATTTTATCTTTTAGCCCAAATAGTATTCTGCATAAAATGTAATAAATAATTTCCTGAAAAACTGGCAAATATATTTCTTAGCATATCTGTTTAGATTTTTTTTTGGGGGGGGGGGAGTTCAGTTACATTTTTCAATACTGAACATATACAATTTTTTACTTCTAAAATAATTTTGCATCATAATTTACTATTACCAATACCAACTTAATTCATAAATACTTTCTTTCCTTCTTTAAATATGAACTTTACTTTATAATATCTACTCCATAGCAAAATTATACTTGAAAGTTATTATATCCTGCCATTTATTAACAAACTAAAGATGTATTGTCAGCATGTATAAGGGGTACATCACCATATACATTAAATGTAACATGGATATGAGGACCATATTTGTTAAAATTGAATAATGGATAATTTTACTGTTGGATACATGATTCATTCTAGTCATATGTTCTTTCAATCAAATTATTAACAACCTTAAAATGCTTACTGATCTATGATATGATACTTCCTAAATTATTAATTAATGTTTTATTAAAATCACAATTTACAAAGAGATCAGTTCACTATTAAAATTATGTACTAATCAAACTATTATTTGTAGCTGCTGAACCAATCTCATAGGAATCGTTAGCTAATAATAAAATTAATTCAGAAAATCTCAGCCATTAAAAAATACTCTAATCCAGAAAAACTAGGAGATCTTGGCAAATGACAAAACCTGCTTCCTTTACTGAAAATGAAATCATTTATGACACCATAATTAAGAAGAAGAAACCACAACTACTTGGGGTTAAGTAGGCTGATATATTTCCAGATACATACTTTAAAAACCAAGTTCAAACTTTATTCAGTATGGCTGCTCATTTTACTGGACATTCTACAACAATTTTATTTTTTCTTAGTGATGAAAGCATGAATTCTTGCTATTATGCAATTATCTACCAATAGAGTCTTACTTTTGTATCGTTGGAAGAATTTCCACTGAATTCAATAGAACAATCCTAGGAATTACTGGGATTGTTCTAAAGGATTTCAGAATTAAAATTATCTTTTGCTATTAATTTCTAAAATGTGTAAATTGAACACACAAATGTACATCCCATATCCTATTTAATCTTAGTGTATACATTATTTCTTGGGATTTTAATTTGTGTTCAGATACCTAGTTATTGTTTTCAGTATCTAGCTATGATACGTAATACTAGTAATGGATGAAGCTAAATTACTTCTTTCAGAAAAAGAAACACAAAAGGTTTCAATTTGAAATTCTTAAAACGTGACAGAATAAAAAAAAGATACATGCTTCCTCGTGTCTGCTAGCAGAAGAAATGTGTGCATCAGCTAACAATTACACAGGTAGTTCTTGACTTACAATCATTCATTTAGTAACTATTCAATGTTCAGCATTGAAAAAAGTGACACAATCGTTTTTCACATTTATGACTGTTGCAGCATCCCTATGGTCACATGATCAAAATTTGGATGTTTGGTAACTGACATTTATTTATGACAGTTGCAGTATTCCAGAGTCATGTGATCATCTTTTGTGACCTTTTGATAAACAAAGTGAATGGGGATGCCAGATTCATTGACAACTATGTTATTAACTTAACAACTACAGTGATTCACTTAACCACTGTGACAAGAAAACCATAAAATAGAGCAAAACTGAGTTAATAACTGTCTTGCTTAGCAATTGAAATTTTGGGCTCAATTGTGGTTATAAGTCAAGGACTATCTGTATTGGAATAAGCTTCAATAAATTTCTTACTTGTCCTTTACTGTGATTTTTGCATCTCTGTAATTGAATATATTGATTTATTTATATAGAACCTATTAACTTATTTACTTATTTTTTTTAAAAAAAATCTGGAATGGTTCCTGCCTGTTTTTTTAAAGTAACATTATACATTGAGCAGAACTGAATGATATCATAACCTTTATAGGCAGCATTCTAGTGTGCTGGTTGTATGGCACATTCCTATTTTTAATAATTAATAAAACAATATTGAGTCATATATTCATACAGAGAAATCTACACATTTCATATCAAATTTAACAACTATTTTAATCAAATTTTAAGAGAATTAATTTTGCAACAAAAATCTCAATTCAATTAATCTAAAAGTGACATTAATTTATCAACTAATTATTCTGGTTACCTGATCCAAAAGATCTTCTACTTTTTTCTGCCAGCTATCTCTGGCGGCATTTTTTTCTCTCTCCTTTAATTGCAAGAGTTGTGTCATTGCTGACTTTTTATCTTCTTCATGCTGAAGTCTCAATTCTTCTCTAAGCTTTGTACATTCCTGCCTAAAAAAAAGAGCTAAAACTTATTCTACTATTTAAAACATTGTAGGAACCTTGTTGAAATGCACAGTCTTGGTCAAAACATTGTTATTAAGCTATAAGTTTGTTCCTTTGAATCAGTTTTTGACTCTTGGTGACTACCTGGACTAGTCCCTACAGTTCTCTTTACAAGATTTTCTAAAGTGGCTTGCCACTACCTTTGGGTTAAGAGAAAGGGAATGACCCAAAGTCATTCAACAGGCTTCATGCCTAAGGCAGGACTAGGTCTCCTGGTATTTAGCCAGATGCCTTAACTACTGCACTGAATTGGCTCCTTTTTATTAAGATTCACATTTCTTTAAAAGAGAAAATAAATGGAAACAATACTTGCCGAAGATTTTCTGTCCATTTTATTTCCAGGTCACGAGCCATTCTATCGAGTTTTAATTTTTCCTCTTCCCTCATGGTTACAATCATTGCTTCATGATGCTGTCTCTCCTGATTTAATTCCCCCTTAAAATAAAATAAAAATCTATAACAATATTATGCTAAGAAATAACATTAATGCATTTCAAAATGCAGAATTATTAGTATTTTTTCATTAACATGGAAATGTTTAATGTGACTGCCCATTTCAAACAAAGCAAATCTAGGTAGCATACAGCAATTAAATAACACAGAATATAAATAAAATAAAATAAATCACGGTGAATGATAAAATGTAATTGTTACAATGAGACCATTATAGAGGAAAAATAAATATACAAATCCCAGAAAAAGGAAGAATATCAATCATCTAAGAATGTCTCCAGGTCCCAAAGATTCCCAGGCCTGGTGTCATCGTAGATGGCATCCCATCCCAAATGCCAAAATGGCGTAGTCCTAGAAAAAGTAAGACCCTAAAACTATTAAGTCTTGTTGATGTTCAGTTGAAGCCTACCATGTTCCACTCAGTCCTTCACAAGCTCTGGACACTAAGATATTCACCATCTCACTTAATTTGCCAAGGGCAGAGATATATAGTTGGGTATAATCAGCGTACTGATGATATCCCACCCCATGGTCATGGGTGAGCTCACCCATCGGCTTTATGTATATATTAGAAGGGAGATCACAGAATCATGTCTATAACTGTAAGAACAGTTTTGCAAAATATTGATATGTATATAAGACAGACCTTTACCCACAGCTTAACCACTATGTGACCTATATATGAAAGATACAATACTTGCTAAATAAAGCCTAGTTTGACCAACATCTTAGCAAAACCATTAGCAGAACATGAAAGCAACACTTTCATTTGCTCCTGCCAACTACTGCTAAGGTAGATCTATTGTAAACCCCAAGGTTGCAAACAACTGTATTAGCAAGCATTATTTAATAGAAATATCATATTTTGTCTAACACCCTTCTAATTAGGCTGAAAATCATTATCATATTCAAGAAATAAAATAAAATATATTACTCCATATATGGCATGGAAGGTTATATGACCACCTGAGCTTGCCTAATGGAGTGAATACATATGATAGAATTCTGCATTTACCTCAACATTATACAAGGAGTCAGCGGTTTCTCTTAGTTTTGCCTGGGTTAGTTCTAATTCCTTTTGCAATATTTCTTGGGTTTCTTGGAGGCTAGAAATGTGCCCTTCTGCAGTACTAAGGCCCTGCTCACTTTTTTTTAAGACATCCTGTAGATGCTCCACCTATAATACAGAAAGAAAATAATGATTGTTTATTAAAAAAAGAAATCAGATTTGATGAACGTATATTTAGATTCTCAGAACTTATTTTACATTTTTGGTCTTCACTTATATATCATTTTAATATACTGAACCCAAAATTAATTAAAAAATTGTTCTTAAAACACGTAAAACAAATGAAGACATAATATATCTCTAACATTCAGTTGTTTTCTTTATCCATTTAGAAAAACTAAATGCATACACATTATGTATGTGTTATATGATGCTGGTAATAAATAACATATTTATTACCAGCATCATACAGTATGCTCTGATAGAAAATACTAGTGAAAAGTTATATCAAAGTCTGAGGGAAGAAATAAGGGAGGGAATAATCCCCACAAAGTAAATCCAACAATAATAGTGCATAGCCAGAAAGTGTATAATATTAACCACATTTGACAGCAGAAATTCATCTGTAATCTATACACATGTGCATATATGTATATGACAGAAATAAAATGTGGTTAATATTATCACTTGTAATATTGAATTCCATATATAAAATAGCACTGAATGAGTAGCCTATCAGTTTTGTTAGTGATATAAAATTCTAGCATTAAAATAATATATATATGGTATGCTGGTCTTGTTGTATTTGAGTCTTTTCCGGTGTAAGAATGAGATTGTCTTGGCAATGTTTCAATGAGGTCTCACTCGTCATCTTCAGGTTGGTGTTTTCGGCTTAAAGCGTGGTTTGAGTTGCCGTCTTTCTATAAATCTTGGTGGGGGGGTGTGGAGTGCTGGCTTTGTTTCAGTAAGTGGATTGATAGGCTGTGTGGTTGGTAAATTGGTGCTGATTGGTGCTGGCTGTGTGTCTGTTGTTGTTTTGTGTTGTAATGGTGTGGATGGTGGGTGGGGCTCGTTTGTTGACTAGGGCTGGTTTCCAGATGTCTGGTAGGTGGGAGGTATCATCACGTTTATTCAGCCATAGTCAACAAATGAACCCACCCACCATCCACACCGTTACAACACAAAACAACAACGGACACACAGCCAGCACCAATCAGCACCAATCCACCAATCCTGATACAACCACACAGCTGGGTTTAGATATTGGCGTATAACCCAGCCTGAAGATGGCAAGTGAGACCTTGCCGAAATGTTGCCAAGACAATCTCAATCTCAATCTGGGAAAAGACCTGAATACAACAAGACCAGCATACATACACCCGTGAAAATCTACGAAAACACACACACACACATATGTGTGTGTGTGTGTGTATATGTATAGCTACATAGCCAAAAAGAAGCAGAACAGAAGTCTAAAATACCAATTAAGAAAAAAACATTAATTAAACTTAGTTGAATGCACACAGCATTTAGGTAATATGATTATGTTGATTCTTACCTCGTGATTGGAGGAAGTCAATTTGGTTGTCAGTTCTTCCTTTAGGCTTTCCAACTGCTGTCGAAGCTGATTCTTCTCATCTTCAAAACGTTGTTTCTCTTTCTCAAATTGCTGCTCCAGCTCCTTTAAAAAAAAAACAAGGCAGAAAAATGTTAAGTCTTCTACTGTTTATTGATTATATTCTTCAAAAATATTGCTTAACGATTTAAATTCTGTTTTCCTAATCAGTCTCCCATATAATTCAGAAATTGGTTTCAGAGAGCAAATGGATCTAAGGCAGTCCTCTCTAGATAACCTTAAAGCATAGAAAGATTTTTATTGAGAAAGATAATTCATCAATCAAGTCTACATTATACCTCTGTTGCATAAGGTGTTTCTAGTTTCTTTCTGGATGCAATTCATAGTATTGGTTATCCCCTTTCAGGCTCTGAATGGCACAAGACCAAGCTATTTGCAGGACTATCTCTCTCCCTGGCGGTGCCTGCCTTTTCTACCAAATCAAATAGGGTAGGTGAGCGCCATATCATTTCCCCTAAGTTTTGTCATTTGGTGGACTAGAAAGCATAACATCTCTGTAGAACCTCCTGCCATGTGGAACATCCTCTCTGATGAACTCTAACAGATCCCTAGCCTTCTCTCCTTCTAGAAAGCCTTGAAAAGCTGACTCTTCCCTCAAGGGTGATGGTAGAGTATGGTCAATCTAAATATTGCTATACAGGTAGTCCTTGATTTATGATAACAATTGGAACTAAACTTTCTTAATAAGTCATTTCAGTCATAAGTCAAGTCAGACCCACTTTCATGACAATTTTGATGACAGTTAAGCAAAACCAGGGTTTTTTTGTTGGAAATTGCCCAAAAAACCACAAATCACTATAACATGACCACAGGACACTACAACTGGTTGTAAATTTGAGCCGGTTGCCAAGCATCCCAGCTGAAATCATGTGATCATGGAGGATATGACAGTCATTAATACAAGTATGGATCATAGGTCACTTTTTTCTGAGGCCACCATAACTTTGAACTATTATTAAGTGAATAAGGTCATCAGACAAAGGTTACTTGCATGGAAAAGGGCTTTTTTATGGGCTACCTGGAATTTTGGTGCTGGTTTCATTACCTCTTTATGCTTTCATTGCTCTTTCCATGAGTTGTCCAGGGTTATGATACACAAGAAGCGTGACCTTATAAATAATTTAAATAATTAAAAAAAATCAAGTTTTATAAAAAATATGGGTAACTACTGCCATGTTCATTCAGTTCAGCAATTTCACAGCTGGCACATTAGACCTAATTCTACAGGTAGATGGAGTTGGGCAATCAGGGCAACTGTAACTGCAGCTTAATAAAAGAAGCTGCCAAATCTCTATACTTTATAGTGTTTTAATGTGAAGTACTATGTAGATAGTAGATAGGTATCTAGTAGATAGCTTATTTAGATTTCCATTTTTTTTTTACAAAACCCCTCATCAAAGTTTCTTCCCTATCCTTAGTTGTGAATTAAGCATTAAATTAATGAGTTACCTATTTTCTCTTTGGATAATAAACATGAAACAGAGAGCCGTAATAAATGGCAGTTAATATGTTTAGAAGTAGAACCATTTTCATGGTGATAGATTTTTTTGATGCCTTGTTTTCTTTATGTAACTAAAATTGGGACAACTTCTGCAGCAATTTTACAAAAGTATAGAAGACAGAAAAGAAAATATTTCAGAAATAAAAGTAGTTTATCTTTGCCAAAGGAAATGAGTATCCTTCCTAAAGAAAGGAAAGCAAATAAGTTTTATAGAAGGAAATTCAAAATAACCATCAGTAACTTGGATGATTTGACCTGATTTCTTCTAGATTATTCTACAATATGACTACAATATTAGGATTAGTCATAAAAGAAGTAAACCTAGGATATACGTTAATGGGGATTTTGGTCTGCATGACATTTTTTCTGTTGAAACAAATGGTCTAGCTAGAGAGAGAAGATGGATGCAAGGGATAGGACCTTTCTATAGTAATTCCTGAGCCCTAAAATTTCTTGTCTATGATGCTATACTCTCAATCCAATCGATTTAATCATAAAATCTGGTTTATTTTAGACTGATTGCTTTTAATGTTAACTTTTAAATTGTTTGACGTATTTTAATTTTTTCAGTGCTACATTTTTATTGTATCTGATTAATATATCTAAATAATATATTATTGAATAAATATAGGTAAAGGTAAAGGTTCCCCTCGCACATATGTGCTAATTGTTTCCAACTCCTGTCTGAAGACATCTCCGTGGTCATATGGCCGGTATGACTAAACGCCGAAGGCGCATGGAACACTGTTATCTTCCTACCAAAGTGGTCCCTATTTTTCTACTTGCATTTTTACATGCTTTTGAACTGCTAGGTTGGCAGAAGCTGGGACAAGTAACGGGAGCTCGCTCCGTTACATGGCACTTGGGATTCGAACCACCAAACTGCTGACCTTTCTGATTGACAAGCTCAGCGTCTTAGCCATTGAGCCATGGCGTTCCCTTGAATAAATATAATAAACTGTAATTTTGCCTATTTTGTTTTACTTTTAAATTTGATGTGCAGACCAAATGACAAAACTAATGACCAAGAATCTAATTACTTACTACCAATCTGAAGTCCTTCTGGAATTTATAAACAATCCCAATCCATAGTCTTACATGAAACTCCAGTCATCCATAATCATCCATTTATAGGAGCGGTGTAAAAATGTAATTAATCTTTTTAAATATCAGCAATAAAAAAGAGTTGTCTGGGTTATTTAATTGATATTAACAGTCTATTCCCATGATGGCGAACCTAGGAGGCACACAGAGCCATATCTGAGGGCACGCATGCGTGCACTGGCCAGCTGATTTTCTGCCTTCCGGAGGGCAGGGGGAGGCAATTTTTGTCCTCCTCAGGTTTCAGGAAAGCCTTTGGAGTCTGTGGATGGTGAAAAATAGGCATAACTGGCCTACCAGAACTCATTTACGAGCTTCTGGTACGCCTGTTGGGCCATTTGTTGCCCTCCCCAGGCTTCAGGAGGCTTTCTTGAAGCCTGGGGAGGACGAAAAAAGACCCAACGGGCCTACTGGAAGTCCAGAGGCTTCAGTGAGCCCTGCGTACATGCGCGGGGGTGGTGGTGCAGGGAGGTTGTGCATGCATGTGCCAGGGGGGATGGCATTGCATTGTGAGTGTGGGTACACATGTGGGTGCTATTAGGAGTGCGTGCACCCTTTTGGCACCCGAGCAGAAAAACATTCGCCATCACTGGTCTATTCTATCTGACTAAAATAATCTGTGAAGTTAGAAATTTTCTTGCTGCAAAATATGTGGAACAACTTAAAATCTGCTATTACAATTAAACACAACTCAACATATGTTATTAAAGTAAAACAGGAACAATCATATATATTTCTCTTACCATTTGCAATTTCTTTTTTTCCTTATTAGCATTGTTATGTGCTGCTTCAAGAGCAGTATTATGTTTCCATGCCAACTCCTCCAAAGCCTTGGAATGAGCTTCTTTTATCTGCGTAGTCTCTCCTTCTAGTTTGACTTGCAATTTCATTATCTCCTTTTCATAATATTCTCGTTGTGTTTCCCTTGCTTCATTTACTCTCTTTAATTTAAACAATACAACAGAATCAAAATCAGATAAATGTATTTTGAAAACTATATAGTCTTGAGTTCGTTATATTAAGTTGTCATTGTGGTTTTTTTCCTATGTGTGCAATATCTAATCTATATCATATATATATCATTTATATATTAATGATGTTGGAATGATAAGGCAATCAAGTCTTCAGATTCTTTCCTTCAACTTTCACATAGAAGCTTACTTAATATAGCAGATCTAGATATGAATCTTTATTACACATTTAAGCAGCTAAATGCCCTCAGCTTAAATCAGGATGCAGGCCTTTTGTATTCTCTATTATAAATTTGGACTATTCCCCTGCCTTTTCCACATACTAATGAAACCTTATTTCTCAATAATTCCACCTCTAGTGGAAGGTGGTGATTATTGGTATATCTAGAATTCTTGTCCTCATTAACTGTAACTCCCAAAATATTTCTAACAGCTTGTAGTTTAATCAGCTATGCAATAGCAATTGTATGTTATACCAGATATTAAGATTAAGAAACTGCTAATTAACACCTTGTATAACTAATGCTTACAATAATGAAATAGCATTAATTGTATAATAAGTTGTACAAGCAGACTTAAAGATACTACTATTGTTCTTATGGACCAAGATCAAAATTGTGTCCTTTCAAGGTATGCAGCTTTTATGCAAGTGGTGACACTTTTGAATATTAAAGTTTTTTTTAAAAAAACATGGAGGCCATTCAAAAAAAGAGAACAAATAGTTTACATATTTACATAATTTCAGTTTTCATTTGTAACCCACCCATGAATATTTTACCTTCTCCAATGTAAGAAGTTGCTGCCTTTGTCTTTCATCCAGACTTTGTGTTTTACTGTGTAACACATTTCTTTCCTCTTCCAATTGAGACAATTTCTCCTTTAATCTAGATTTTTCTGATTCCAAATCAGATATTGTAACTTCCTGGGTCATTTGAGTAGCTTGAAGCATTCCAACATGACCTGTAAAAATGAAATATTAAGTATTTCTGGAATATTAATATTTATACTTGAATGGCTTCTCGTACTGGCCTGGTTCACATAATGTATCAAGCTATAATATGGCTGATTTTGACTTACTGGGTTGTAAGAGTATAGGCACTGAAATTTGTAAACGCAGATGATAACTCCAGGTATTGTATTAATCCAGGCATTATTTTATTCAGTGAACAATGGTTATATAGATTTTGGCTTAATCCCATTCATTTTGGGACATATTTGAAACAGAAAATATTCTGAAATGCCCCACTACAATATCATGCAATGTTAGACTTGGTTCATTGACCAGAAGTACAACAGAAGCAAGCTAAAATCTGAAGTAAGGTGACTTTGCTCCTTCCTGTACATATTTTCACGATCTCCTATTGTGATGCTACTTGTTTCATAAAAGAAGTAGTGAAAAAAGCTTCTCATAAAAACAGATGCTTTTAATAAGAATTCATTCTAGTTACAATGCCATCTTATCTAAACCAAAATTACAATCAGGTGTGTAGAAATAAAAATATTTCAGGAGTTCACCTGCCACCCCCCACCTCTAGGAAGCACTTTTATGATGTTATCACATAAACCTTTCATGATTTAAAGTTGAAATATACTATATTTCTCTATATACATTTTCTCTATATACTATATATATTTTGCTGTTACTCGCTAAACAAAATTGTGTTAGCTGTATAGGAGACTGAAATGCTTATCTTTATAACATACTGCTTATTTATTAGGCTTCCCATACAATGCAAAACAAATTCTGCTTAAAAAAAACCAAGGTGCTATCAAAAAGACATCCTTTTCTGGTTTGTTATATATCACATTTTAAAAAAAAGAAATCAATGTCTATGCCTATAAGATAATTAGAAACAAATTAAGGCACCAAGAATTTTAGTTTCATTTTTAGAAAAAAGATGTCAAAATGACTAAATTCTTTCAGAATTTAAGTGTAATGAGGCAGTTATCTTAAGCAGTAGATCCTAGGAAACAGTGGTGAGATACTGAAAGACAGATCTATGGACATTTTGCAGACATTATGAATCATCTGTTTCTTCAACAGAGGTGGAATACAGTCAAAACAAATAAAATAGAGCAGGGATGGCGAACCTTTTTCGGGTGCCAAAAGCACCCGTGTGCGCCCTCCACAATTTAATGCCCTCCCCCGCTGCTGCCCCACACACGGCTTTCTTGGAGTCTGGGGAGGGTGAAAATGGCCTCCCCATCCCCCCCAGAGGCCTTCTAGAGGCCAGAAATGGCCCATTTTCCGACTTCCAGTGGGCCCTTTAGTTTGTTTTTCACCCTCCCCAGACTCCACAGGCTTTCTAGGAGACTGGAGAGAGCGAAAAACCGTGGCACGACTTAACCGCGAACGTCAAAAGCGCGCCGACAAAACCGCGGCGCTAAAACCG